CTAGGGTTTACCGATAATGGTGCGACAAACAAAAAACATCCAGTCAGCAGCAGTCCTGTGAGCAAAAACAGCTCGTTGATGAGAGAGGTCGAAGGAGAATGGCAAGAATCGTGGAAGCTAACAGGCGGGCCACAAACAGACATAACAGCGCAGTACAACAGTGGCTGTTGATCCTTGTCACGGATGGGCTATTGCAGCAGACGACCACACTGGGTTCCACTCCTATCAGCTAAAAACAAGAAGAAGCGGCTCTAGTGGGCACGCGATCACCAACACTGGACAATTGAGGAGTGGAAAAACATTGCCTGGAACATGACAGCAAGTTCAGTTTACTTGAGTGGCCTGCGCAGTCCCCAGAACTCAACCCAATAGAGCATATTTGGGATGATATGGAATGGGCTCAGGGCATAATATTCACTCACTTTTTGGTCCACCAGCCACTGTGGCAGGTAGATATCCAAATCTCCCACCCACTCAGATTTCTTACCAGCCCAAATATTTTTTGCCCACTAAAATGAAACCAACAAAACACAAAAACTGATGAGCATGCTTTGTAATGTTTCTAAAACAATACATGTATTACTAGTAATGTTTCTAAAACAATACATGTATTACTAGTAAGAAGTAACTAATATGGTATATTGTTTAATTACATTTTTTGTGACCAGAGTCTTTTTAAAACATTACAGATGAGACTAAAATGTTAAAGGGTGGTAGCGTGACTCGAGTCATGTTTGTGCCTGTGAGATTGAGTCTGACTAGTAGAAGCGTTGTCTTCTCTTCCCTAGCAGTTGAAACGCAAACATAGAGAAACAACCGAGCTTGTGAACCAAACAAATGTAAATAGCCAAGAAACACAAGGACAAAGTGTCACTTCAGTAGACTTTCATTTCAAGTAAATTAGAAAAAAATGTATGCCTGTGCACAGCGCTTCTAAAAATGTATCTTTCACTCAGCGCTTCACGTGCGCACAACCCCCAGTCAGGCAGTGTTTCAGAGCAAGGTGGAATAGGCTATATAAGATTCCTAGTGCTTTGACTTTGTGTGATTAATTTACTAGCTAATAAATATGAAACAAAACGGCGGAAATACTTTGAAAACAGCTCCTGCATCATTTATTGTACTATAAAAGTGATCATACTTGACTATTTCTATTCACAAATGCAAGTGAAATTCTCGCACTGTGGAGGCGTGACCACCCGCCAACATGGCTGGTGAAATAGACATCTTACCCGTCAATACTAAAATCTACCCACATTTGGCCTGTGTTAATTTTGGGCCCTGAACGGGCTGTTCGCAGTATGAATGTACCGCCGTCCAATCTGCAGCAACTGCATGATGCCATCGCATCAGCATGGACCAACATCTCTGTGGAACGTTTCCGACACCTTGTCATGTTAATGCAAGAACACCTGCTCCATAAAAGACTGACCAGGTGAATCCAGGTGAAAGCTATGATCCCTTATTGATGTCACTTGTTAAATCCACTTCAAATCAGTGTAGATGAAGGGGAGGAGACAAGTTAATGAAGGATTTTTAAGCCTTTAGACAATTGAGACATGGATTGTGTATGTGTGCCATTCAGAGGATGAATGTGCAAGACTTTGAAAGGGGTATGGTAGTAGGTGCCAGGTGCACCGGTTTGTGTCAAGAACTGCAACGCTACTGGGTTTTTCATGCTCAACAGTTTCCTATGTGTATCAAGAATGGTCCACTACCCAAAGGACATACAGCCAACTTGACACAACTGTGGGAACCATTGGTGTCAACATGGGCCAGCATCCCTGTAGAATGCTTTCGACACCTTGTAGAGTCCATGCCCTGACAAATTGAGGCTGTTCTGAGGGCAAAGGGGGGGGGGGGGGGGGGTTCCTAATGTATACTAAGTGTATATATGGGCCTAATATTACATAACAATAATAGCTACATCATTGACAGTTACCTTCCAGTCAAAAAGCATGACTGCAGCAGACCTCTGGCTGGCTAATCACATATCGAATCACTAGCCAGTTCGTTTTAGCTCTGAATAATACCTAATGACAAATGCTCTTCAAATTGTCAATATGAGCATGTTATGTTGTACAGCTATCAAAGAAAACATTAACATAAAAAAGTAAAGACAAGAAAATAGCTAAATCAAGTAGGCTACCTTGCCTCGTTTTGACTGACTGTCTATCTACTGGCTTGTTATCAAAAAGTCATTTCACAGACTCATCTTATCAATCGAATAAAAATACTCAAAAATGTAAACATTACAAAATACCAACATAAAAACTAATTGTATAGAGTTTCTTACCTTAATGTTGTCCTGATCTCAGTGGAAAAGTTGTGAGGAAACTTTCAGGTCCCTCCCGGTGGCAGCATTCACTTTGAGTCCCCAAGCCAAAATTCACAATTCGCTCAATCCTGCCAATGACGCATTGGCATCAGTCGTTACTATGGCAATTCAAGATGGTGCTACCCATACCTCTAATAAACAAACGTTGAAGATCAAAATCCTAAAAATAGAGATGTTTCTATGTTAAATGCACATGTTTAGTATTAGTGGATCTCTTTGCTTAGCTTTACTTCCTAAAGTGTTCCCATGCCCTTTAATAAGGACATCGATGACATCGTCCCCACAGTGATCATACGTACATACCCCAACCAGAAGCCATTGATTACAGATAACATCCACACTGAGCTAAAGGCTAGAGCTGCCGCTTTCAAGGAGCGGGACACTAATCCGGACACTTATAAGAAATACTGCTTCGACCTCCAAACAGGCAAAGCGTCAATACAGGACTACGATCGAATCCTACTACGCCGGCTCTGACGCTCGACGGATGTGGCAGGGCTCGCAAACCATCACGGACTGCAAAGGGAAACCCCGCCGCGAGCTGCCTAGCGGCGCAAGCCTACCAGACGAGCTAAACACTTTGAGGCAGGCAACACTGAACCATGCATGAGAGCACCCGCTGTTCCAGGCGACTGTGTGATCTTGCTCTCAGTAGCCAATGTGAGTAAGACCTTTAAAACAGGTTAACATTCGCAAGACCGCGGGGCCAGATGGAATACCAGGATGTGTATTCAGAGCATGGGCTGACCAGCTGGCAAGGGTCTTCACTGACATTCTCAACATATCCCTGACGCGCTCTGTAATACCAACTTGTTTCAAACAGACCACTATAGTCCCCTTGCCCAAGAACGGCAAGGTAACCTACCTAAATGACTATCGCCCCGTAGCACACATCCATAGCCATCATCCCAGACCCACTCCAATTCGCATACCGCCCCAACAGATCACGCAATTTATATTGCACTCCACCCTGCCCTCACTGGACAAAAGGAATACCTATAAGAATGCTGTTCATTGAGTACAGCTCAGCATTCAACACCATAGCCCCTTCCAAGGTCATCACCAAGCTCAGGACCCTGGGACTGAACAACTCCTGGACTTCCTGACAGGCCTCCCCCCAGGCGGTAAGCAACAACATATCCACCACACTGACCATCAACGCGGGGGCCCCACAGGGGTGTGTGCTTAGTCCCCTCCTGTACTCCCTATTCACCTACGACTGCAAGGCCTCGCACAACGGTGGTAGGACTGATCACCGACAATGATGATGCAGCCTATAGGGAGGAGTTTAGAGACCTGTCAGTGTGGTGCCAGGACAACAACAACCTCTCCCTCAAAGTCAGCAAGACAAAGGATCTGATCGTGAACTAGAGAGAACGGAGGGGCAAGCACGCCCCCATCCATATCGATGGAACTGTAGTGGAGCAGGTCAAGCGCTTCAAGTTCCTCTGTGTCCACATCACTAAGGAATTAACATGGTCCACACACACCCACACAGATGTGAAGAGGGCACGACAGTGCCTTCTCCCCCTCAGGAGGCTGAACAGATTTGGCATGGGCCCTCAGACCCTCAGAAAGTTCTACAACTGCACCATTGAGAGCATCTTGACTGGCTGCATCACCGCTTGGTACGGCAACTGCAAGGCACCTGACCACAAGGCGCTACAGAGGGGGGTTGAGTATGGCATTGTCAAAGACTCCAGCCACCCAAGCCATAGACTATTCTCTCTACTACCACACAGCAAGTGGTACCAGTGCACCAAGTCTGGAACCAACAGGACCCTGAAGCTTCTACCCCTCAAGCCATAAGACTGCTAAACATGACTGGTAAATAGCTAATCAAATGGCTACCCGGACTACATGCATTTACCCTTTTTTGCAATGACTATGCACACACTGGACTCTACCCACACACTCACATATACTTACACCCCAAAACACACACAAACACGTAACACGTGCACACATGCATACTGACGACACACACACACACAACTACTGTTATCTATCCTGTTGCCTAGTCACTTCGTACCCCTGCACATGGACTCGGTACTGGTACTCCCTGTATATAGCCATGTTATTGTTACTCGTTATTGTTATTCACTGTATTTATTCCTTGTGTCACTATGTAAAGTTTTTTATTCTTTTTTTAATCTTCAACAAAATAAAATGTGATTTGATTTGACAAGTTTAGGTCCAAAATAAGCCCATAGAAACGCATTGGGCTTATTTTAGACATATTTATGCGAGAGTGAAACCTCTCGCTTCGCCTCTTCCTTTCTGGTGTATCTCAAATGTGTCAGAGAAAAAAAAAAAAAAACGTATAGGCCTGAAACAGCCTGTAGTTAACTCCTCTAATTCAAGTCTGTCCAAACAGCTTGCTAGAGTAGAGTATAGCTTTTAACCCTGGTATTAGTTAAGAAGGGTACAGTGCACCCTACTATCTACAACTATACCTATATAGTAAACCTGCTGACCAGAAGCTTTCTGAAGGCTAGTTGATACACATCTGCATAGTTTTGCTAAGCAACGCCCATTTTGCATTGCTACTTGTAGTTCATTCATGCACACGTATGTAGGGTATAAATAAGGTTTGAGGGTCTGCAAAAACGTAATGAGAGTACGTTATGCTGCGAGTACTGACTGGTGTGTAGTTAGTTAGTTAGTAGTACTGACTGGTATGTATGCGGACACTGCAGTGGGAGCAGCTGATGAGCAGGCTGGTGCCGTCTGGCTCCAGGTGAGGGGTGGTGGGCGCCGGGGCTCCAAGCGCCTGCTCCTCAGCACCCTCCTCTGGCTCGGTGGTGGTAGTGAAACACATCTCAGCGATCAGAGGCTTAGTCCTCAGTCTGCCTCCAGGCAACACCACTGGAGTGTCCTTACAGACATCAGCACACTCCGTCTGGAGATGAAACAATCATATTTAGCACCTCTTGGGAGGACAATGGAGAATCACTTAAAAAATATATTATTTATTTTCAACGTTTTTTTTTTTTTTTTATCACTTTGGTGCAATTTTCACAACATATCATCACAAAGGCAGTTGTTTCAAAACTAACCACATTTTCAATTGACTAAGTATGACAAAATCATAGTCCATTTTTCACCATCTAGAAATACATAATTCACAATTACTTTTATATGATTACTTTTTATATGATTCTCTTCTTTTGTACAACTAAATTTCACTATTACTTAATCTGACTGCTCTTAATTGATGATCACTTAAACGTTCGGTAAACCTATAGATTTTACATGTCAACTGGTTTGTCTACTACAGTCGTGGTCAAAAGTTTTGAGAATGACACAAATACAAAATTTTCACAAAGTCTGCTGTCTCAGTTTTGATGATGGCAATTTGTATATACTCCAGAATGTCATGAAGAGTGATCAGAAGAATTGCAATTAATTGCAAAGTCCCTCTTTGCCATGAAAATGAACTTAATCCCAAAAAAACATTTCCACTGCATTTCAGCCCTGCCACAAAAGGACCAGCTGACATCGTGTCAGTGATTCTCTCGTTAACACAGGTGAGAGTGTTGACGAGGACAAGGCTGGAGATCACTCTGTCATGCTGATTGAGTTAGAATAACAGACTGGAAGCTTTAAAAGGAGGGTGGTGCTTGAAATCATTGTTCTTCCTCTGTTAACCATGGTTACCTCATTGCTTTGTACAAAAAGGGCTTCACAGGCAAGGATATTGCTGCTAGTAAGATTGCACCTAAATCAACCATTTATCGGATCATCAAGAACTTCAAGGAGAGAGGTTCAATTGTTGTGAAGAAGGTGTCAAGGCGCCCACGAAAGTCCAGCAAGCGCCAGGACTGTCTCCTAAAGTTGATTCAGCTGCGGGATCGGGGCACCACCAGTGCAGAGCTTGCTCAGGAATGACAGCAGGCAGGTGTGAGTGCATCTGCACGCACAGTGAGGCAAATACTTTTGGAGGATGGCCTGGTGTCAAGAAGGGCAGCAAAGAAGCCACTTCTCTCCAGGAAAAACATCAGGGACAGACTGATATTCTGCAAAAGGTACAGGGATTGGACTGCTGAGGACTGGGGTAAAGTCATTTTCTCTGATGAATCCCCTTTCCGATTGTTTGGGGCATCCAGCAAACAGCTTGTCCGGAGAAGACAAGGTGAGAGCTACCATCAGTCCTGTGTCATGCCAAAAGTAAAGCATCCTGAGACCATTCATGTGTGGGGTTGCTTCTCAGCCAAGGGAGTGGGCTCACTCACAATTTTGCCTAAGAACACAGCCATGAATAAAGAATGATACCAACACATCCTCCGAGAGCAACTTCTCCCAACCATCCAAGAACAGTTTGGTGACGACCAATGCCTGTTCCAGCATGATGGAGCACCTTATCATAAGGCAAAAGTGATAACTAAGTGGCTCGGGGAACAAAACATAGACATTTTGGGTCCATGGCCAGGAAACTCCCCAGACCTTAATCCCATTGAGAACTTGTGGTCGATCCTCAAGAGGCGGGTGGACAAACAAAAACCCACAAATTCTGACAAACTCCAAGCATTGATTATGCAAGAATGGGCTGCCATCAGTCAGGATGTGGCCCAGAAGTTAATTGACAGCATGCCAGGGCGGATTGCAGAGGTCTTGAAAAAGAAGGGTCAACACTGCAAATATTGACTCTTTGCATAAACGTAATGTAATTGTCAATAAAAGCCTTTGACACTTATGGGATGCTTGTAATTATACTTCAGTATACCATAGTAACATCTGACAAAAATATCTCATAACACTGAAGCAGCGAACTTTGTGAAGACCAATACTTGTGTCATTCACAAAACTTTTGACCACGACTGTACAGATTTGGAGGACTACATCATGAAAATGTACATTATGTCTGTAAAGTAGAAACATAAAAAGTATGATATATACTTGAATGTACTACTATGATGATGACATTTGATTTTACTTCAAAGTAAGTACAAAAAAAATCTGATATTGACAAGATCAGAGATGTACTGTATGTAACAAAAGGACGTGACGCTTGGCATTCAGGCCAAAGAGTTCAATATTGGTTTCATCAGACAGGAGAATCTTGTTTCTCATGGTCTGAGAGTCCTTTAGGTGCCTTTTGGCAAACTCCAAGCATGCTGTCATGTGCCTTTTACTGAGGCGTGGCTTCCGTCTGGCCACTCTACCATAAAAGGCCTGATTGGTGGAGTGCTGCAGAGATGGTTGTCTTTCTGGAAGGTTCTCCCATCTCCACAGAGGAACTCTGGAGCTCTGTCAGAGTGACCATCAGGTTCTTGGTCACCTCCCTGACCAAGGTCATTCTCCCCCGATTGCTCAGTTTGGCCAGGCGGCCAGCTCAGGGAAGAGTCTTAGTGGTTCCAAACTTCTTCCATTTAAGAATGATGGAGGCCACTGTGTTCTTGGGGACCTTCAATGCTGCAGAACGTTTTTGGTACCCTTCCCCAGATCTGTGCCTCGACACAATCCTGTCTCGGAGCTCTACGGACAATTCCTTCGACCTCATGGCTTGGTTTTTGCTCTGAAATGCACTGTCAACTGTAGGACCTTAGATAGACAGGTGTGTGCCTTTCCAAATCCATTGAATTTACCACAGGTGGACTCCAATCAAGTTGAAAAACATCTCAAGGATGATCAATGGAAACAGGATGCACCGGAGCTCAATTTCGAGTCTCATAGCAAAAGGGTCTGAATACTTGTGTAAATAAGGTATGTTTCTTATTTTTAATAGAATTACCAAAAATTCTACAAACCTGTTTTTGCTTTGTCATTATGGGGTATTGTGTGTAGATGAGGAAAACTAAATAATTTAATATATTTTAGAATAAGGCTGTAACGTAACAAAATATGGAAAAAGTCAAGGGGTCTGAATACTTTCCAAATTTTTAGGTTTAGGTTTTAGACCAGGTCATAACACTATCTCTGCTGCATCTCTAGTTATAAATGATGTGGTTAACTGCATGGATAAAAGGCAACATTGTGCTGCCCTCGTCATTGACCTGTCAATGGCTTTCGATATTGTTGATCACTCACTGCTAATTGAGAGGCTTTCCTCAATTGGCCTAGATCAGGCTGCATTGTAACTGGTTTAAAAACTACTTGACAGATAGAACTCAATGTTTATCTACTGATGGTGTTGAATCAGGTTTCCTGGATATTTTACGAAAGGTGTCCCGCAGGGGTCGATTCTGGGTCCTGTATTTTGATTTTTTACATGAACAATATTGACTTGTGTGCCAATGATACGGTTGTGTATGCTATTGCCCCCACGGTTGACCAGGCTCTATCTGAACTACAGTCTGCCTTCATCGTACTACAGAAAAACTTGATTCACCTGAAATTATTACTGAATGCAGGTCAAACTAAGTATATGTTGTTCTCTAGAGCGCATAAAAATATGTCTGATGATTTAAGCCTACTTTGGATGGTGTCCATATTCATCGTGTCAGTGCTTACAAATACCTGGGCATCTGGATAGATGAAAAGCTGTGTTTTAAAAAGCATATTGATGAGTTAGTTAAGAAACTGAGAATAAAAATGGGCTTCTTCTATATAAATAGGTCCTGCCTCTCGCTAAATAGTAGAAAGCAGATTATTCAGTCGACATTCCTATCGGTCCTAGACTATGGAGACACCTATATGAATGCAGACACCAATTAATTAAAAGCATCACTGCATTCTCTACCAGAAAGTTGGTTGGCCCTATTTGATGTCACGTAGCTTGATACATTGCTAGGTTTTCATTCATAAAGCTCTTTTACAAAAAGTCCCACTGTACCTAACATCATTACTAAACTTTAGACATACGAGTTACCACACCTGGTCTCAGGGATGACTAACTCTGGAAATTCCTTTGGTCTCAACCGAGTTAGGTAAATCAGCTTTTAGTTTTCTTGCACCTTATTTGTGGAACAATCTTCAAAATGTTCTTAAATTTGATGTTCTGGTTCCTCTAGGGCAATTCAGAAAGCTGATTGAGGACCATATTACTGATGAATGTGTTTGTTTTTTATGACTCTGTTTTTCTTTCTGCTTGCCTTTAGTATTTATATATTGATGTGTGTATTTTCTGTAATTTATGTAATTCAGGGCTCATTTGTAAAAGAGACCTTGGTCTCAGTATGACTCCCTGATAAAATAAAGGTTAAATCAAATACAAATCTATCAATACAACATGCAAAAGAAAGTCTAAAACAAGAAAGAAATGCATCCCCTATACAGCAGACATGTATCCAAAATCAAGTTACTGGGGTCTTTTTGATTGGGGTTGTGGGAAGGTTCACACTGCTTTACTAAAATTGCATTGGCCAATACAGTACTGTAATACCGTAATATATGCTATTTATGTAGCAGACACTTTTATCCAAAGTGACAAGAGTCCACACACTTTTGTATGTGTCCGCAGTTGGAATCGAATCCTCAACTCTGGTGTGCTAGACAGCCTTGATGCAAACTAGTGCCTACGAAACATTATTTTATTTCATTTATTTGATTACATTGTGAAAGATGTCTCCAATGATCATACCTTTGATCACACATGGGATAGAAATTATGGACATTTGATGTTCAGTAATTTTTAATGAGAAGTGCAATTGTATTGCCTAATGTGAAAACAGTGTAATGTATTGTCATTTTCTGTCGCATACTACATTCAAAAGGGCAATTTTGAAACATGTACTGTATCTTACATTTTTTGCTATTGGATTAACTGGAGAATATATCAGAAGATATTTTGTGTTTTCGTGATTAAACCAATGTACTCATTATACACTGAACAAAAAAAACAACACGTGAAGTGTTTGTCCCATGTTTCATGAGCTGAAATAAAAAATCCCAGAGATTTTCCATATGCACAAAAAGCTTATTTCTTTCAAATTGTGTGCACAAACTTGTTTACATCCCTGTTAGTGAGCATTTCTCCTTTGCCAAGATAATCCATCCATCTGACATGTGGCAAATCAAGAAGCTGATTAAACAGCATGATCATTACACAGGTGTACCTTGTGCTTTGGACAATAAAAGGCCACTCTAAGATGTGCGGTTTTGTCACACAACACAATGCCACAGATGTCTCAAGTTTTGAGGGAGCGAGCAATTGGCAAGCTGACTGTAGGAATGTCCATCAGAGCTGTTGCCAGAGAATTGAATGTTCATTTCTCTACCATAAGCTGCCTCTAACGTCGCTTTAGAGAATTTCTCATAACCGCAGACCACGCGTAACCACACCAGCCCAGGTCCTACACATCCGACTTCTTCACCTGTGGGACCGTCTGAGGGGGGATGGGGGGTGCTGAGGAGTACTTCTGTCTGTAATAAAGTATTTTTGTGGGGAAAAACTCATTCTGATTGGCTGGGCCTGGCTCCCAAGTGGGTGGACCTATGCCCTCCCAGGCCCACCCATGGCTGCACCCCCTGCCCAGTTATGTGAAATCCATAGATTAGGCCCTAATGAATTCATTTCAGTTGACTGATTTCCTTATATGAACTGTAACTCAGTAAAATCTGTGAAGTTGTTGCATGTTGCGTTTATATATTTTTTCAGTATATTTCACAGTAAAGTTATATTTTGGATCAATGGTTGTGTTGTGAAAGATGTCTACAGACAAAATGAATGTGAAATGAAAGGTTTTGAATGTAAAACTGGCTATGTTACAAGTGTTACCATTTTTGAGTTTTGTACTAAGAGTTTAGAAAATTCACCACATACTGTACTTGTGAAAATAGTACCAAAGCGATTAATAAAAACGTTATAATTCAAAAAGTAAAGGGTTTCTGTGTATGCCTTCATCAGTGCACTCGGTATGGCCATGGAGATACACAGCAATACAGCTAAACTCAGACTAGGTATAGAAAACATGAAATACCTCAATCGCTGTTCAAGAGTACTGAGTATATTGCAATACAACTACTTTTCTCCTAAGACTGAGCGAAGAAAATAATCACCTAATAAGAGCTTTACTCTCGTTAGGAATTGACTTTAGGAATCGCTTTGAGACTAATGACTGACAGGGTACAAGCTTTAGCTTCCCAAATCCCCTGCTAAAGTGTCTGAGTGCCGAGTGTCTCCTCCTCTCCTGCTGGTGAGCTCACTCCTCTACTCTCCTCTCCTCCCTCCTCACCCGCTGGTAGGTCTGGAACAATGAGCATACGGAGCAGTATGGGACCTGGAGGCCCATGCGACGGTTGTACTCCTTCTCTCTCTTCAGGCTGGGGGGTCTGTTCTGCCACAGGTGGGCGAGGGGCTTGGCCCACAACTCTCCCTCTAACCCATCCTCCTCTACTGGAGGCTGCTCTGGCAGCTCTAAAAACAACAACAACAAAACAAACATTGTTTAGCGTTAGCACATGCCATATCCAAAGCGACTTACAGAATTGTCAACATTGACAGTGGCCCATGAAGGAAATCAACTCCACCATGCTATATACTCTAAACCCCAGAATTATTGGAACAACAGACAGTTCTAAAAACACACACAGACAAACAACTATCATCCCATCAAGTATGCAAACATCGATACGAGTGAATGATGCGCTTTTCTATTCCATGCCAGAACATGCCTGACACTGCTTTTCCCTAGGTCTTATCCATTGTTTAGGAAGAGGAAGCCTAACTGGGGCTGAACTATGTGAATGAAGAAGTAATATTTGTATTCACCCTCATCACTCATGCTGTCCTTCATCAGAGGGTGATGGCGAGGCAGCTTCCCCAGTTTGCTTTGCACGCCGTCATCCCCCGCTCCCTCTTCTGCCCCCTAGTGGAATAAAAGGGGTTAACAACAGAATCATTAGAGCTGATTCATTGAACATGTCCATAGCTGACCTCAGAACAAAAATCTAAGCAAATCCTACAGACAGAGGTTTAGTGACGTGATGTTTGGACTCTACTCCTCCTCTTCTCCTGCGTCTCTGCTCCTCTCACCTTGCTGTCGTCCTGTTCCTCTCCTTCACTATCACTACTATCGCTCCTCATCTCCTCCTTGCTCTCATTGGTCTCTCCCTCGCTGTAGTCTCCCTTGGCGTAGCTGTGGACGTGCAGCACGTCTGCCGGGCTCAGGGTCCTCTGGAAGAGCCGGTGGGCAGGGCTGGAGCTGTTGGCTGGTGCTGGAGGCTTCACATCCTCACTGTGGCCGGCCTTCTCTGAGCTCTGGGAGGAGGGGCCTGGTACTGCTGATTGGGTTGACTGACTGTTAATCTGTGGCTGAGACTTAATTTGAGGGGATTTAATAGAGTTATTGGCTTTCATCTGGAGTGCTAGCTTTCGGCTGGCGTTTGTGTTTCGGTTGGTCTTTGCGTTGGGTGGTAGCTTTATTTGCTCATTTTTAACGTCCTCTGGCTTCGGCTCTGAAATAAACAACAAACAACATGAAAAGCTGGAGGCACAAGGCAATGTCTAAATCAGTGGTTCTCAACTGGTTTTGCCTCGGGATCCAAATTAAATCAGGTTGTCTCAGTCGTGACCCAATATTCGCAGCCAAAACACAATCTGGAAAACTATTTGGAATGCTATATTGATAGTAAATGTGGCAATTATGAAAAGGGAAATCTCTTTCATTGTCAATAATACATTTTTGCCCATATTCTTGATGAAGAATGTTAATAAACTCACTGGCTTGAGACCACAAAATCAACCAAAATAGTGCCGCTAATAGCTCTATATTGAAAATACTGTGATAAAAAAAAAGAGATAAAATGTTTTTAACATGTTAATTCATCATCACTTCTACACACTTTCTACCTGGTTTATGTCATTTAAGTTCAGACTGGATTTATTAAATGGTTTTACTCAGATACCTGCAAACCATTCAAAACCTCCCACGACCCAAATCGGGGTCGCGACCCACCAGTTGAGTATCGCTGGTCTAAATTATCTCCCTCATAGACCAACAAGTCAATCTGCAGTAGACTAGTGTCAGTCACTGTTTAATTGTTTGGTAGCATAGTCAAAGATGAACTGAAGTACCTTTGTAAAATTGAATTAAAAAAGCTATGTTATGCAAATGAGGCACTTAATATTCAAATGTTGCAGTACGGAATACTTAATATGCTAATTGTCTGTTTGGAAAATTTAAACAAAATACAGCATGTTCATTTCAAGTAATGTGGTCATTGTTAACATATATTTATGTTTTATGCAGAACTAGGAGTTTACGCTGAGGAATAAGGTGCAGCCCGCGCACACACATAAAAAAATATATATACTATGTTGTATTCAGTAGGCCAACTGATTAGACATAGAGTGCCAAATAATATGCCCAACCCTGTGCAGTGCCACCTGCATCCCCACCAACAAACAAAACACACAGGCTAACACAGACACACACAGGCTAACACAGATACACACAGACTAACACAGACACACACAGGCTAACACAGACACACACAGGCTAACACAGACACACACAGACACACACAGGCTAACACACACACACACACAGACTAACACAGACACACACAGGCTAACACAGACACACACAGGCTAACACAGACACACACAGGCTAACACAGACACACACAGACACACACAGGCTAACAGAGACACACACATGCTAACACAGACACACACAGGCTAACAGACACACACAGACTAACACAGACACACCCTTTTCACTAAGTCTAAACTGTAATTCAGAAGGCTACTAGTCTTATAACATAGCTTACTTCTAAGGTAGGCCTACACTGAGTTGGGTTACATTGTAATGTTATTTTTGGTGTTGATGAGTTACTCTGGTGATGGGAGAATAAACTGCACCGTTTCCAGGAAATAATTAGCCTAGGCTCAGAAGAGACAGAGCCAGTGAGCTGCCTGCTAGCCAGCTGCACACAAAGACGGGACACATTTTATATTTGATTGATTGTAGGACTGCAGCCATCGAATTATTGTCGTTTTTACTTGAAAGAATAAAATCATCAATCACAAAAATCGCTGTTGGCACAATACAGCCTTGCTACCTCTCACCCGGCACGTTGCCTTAGCGAACGGCATCAGGCACTCCCAAACAGCTAGCAAACTAGCAATCATGGAAATGGGAGTGGCGAATTTGGACCTATCCCTGACAACCTATACATCAAAACGTAGCTACGAAGCTCAACTTTGTAACCTGCTCTGTTCTTTTCGTATCAATGAGAACATCTGAATGACAGAAGCAAAGGAAAAACTTTGAACCTTATATTTCAGTCCAAGGACATCTGATGACCGTAAAACACCCTCAGGACTTTCCAATACTTGTTGACAATACAATGTCACATCGATCTTACTCTGGTAGAGTGAGGAATACCATTCGCAAAGAGCAAATATGAACACACCAGATTTCAGAAAAAGGGCTGTCCCACATAATTAAATGTTCTAAGCACGGCACTTACTTTAAATTTGGCCTCATATCGCGTAAATATCATAACAAACAGTATTGGATTTTTAGACATTGTTAACAACTTCCATATTCATGTTTTCAAATGATATATTATGTATTTTGATGCCCACATTGACATTTAGTGAAAATTAATTGGATTAGTTTTTTGTAGAATTTTTTGTAGAATTCTTGCAGTGACGTGCACCTAATTGAGGTACCTTTGTGTGCCGGGCTGTGTCCACTCCACTTCTCCAGCTTGGCTTTCTTTTGCTCCACCTCTCCTTCCTCCTCAGCCTGCTCAGTGTCTTCATCCTCTGCTGCCTCCATAACTGCTTCTCGCTGGCACTTTTTCCCAACCTTCGGCTTCAGGCTGCTGTGGCACAGGACAGAGAGAGAGGAACTGTGAATGTTTTTTTTTTTAAGATATGCAACAGATCAGAACATTTCGTTTAAATTTTTATAAACTATTAGTCTATTTCTTCACATTATAAGCGCAGCAATGCGCACACGGCAGTAGATTATAAGCACAAATGTTCCATTAGCGGAAAACATCATTATCAAAAGTGACCGCAAATGTAGAACTCTTATGGAGTCTTATGGCTTGGGGGTAGAAGCTGTTAAGAAGCCTTTTGGACCTAGACTTGGCGCTCCGGTACCACTTGCCGTGCGGTAGCAGAGAGAACAGTCTATGACTAGGGTGGCTGTAGTCTTTGGCAATTTTTAGGACCTTCATCTGACACCACCTGGTATAGAGGTCATGGATGGTAGGAAGCTTGGCCCAGTGATATACTGGGCCATACGCACTACCCTCTGTAGAGCCTTGCAGTCGGAGGCCGAGCAGTTGCCATACCAGGCGGTGATGCAACCAGTCAGGATGCTCTCGATGGTGCAGCTGTATAACTTTTAGAGGATCTGAGGACCCATGCCAAATCTTGAGGGGGAATAGGCTTTATGGTGCCCTCTTCACGACTGTCTTGGTGTGTTTGGACCATGATAGTTTGTTGGTGATGTGGACACCAAGGAACTTGAAGCTCTCAACCTGTTCCACTACAGCCCCGTTGTTGAGGATGGGGGCGTGCTCAGTCCTCTTTTTTTCCCCCCTGTAGTCCACAATCATCTCCTTTGTCTTGATCACGTTGAGGGAGAGGTTGTTATCCTGGCACCACACGGCCAGGTCTCTGACCTTCCTATAGGCTGTCTCATCGTTGCCGGTGATCAGGCCTACCACTGTTGTGTCGTCTGCAAACTTAATGTTGGTGTTGGAGTCGTGCCTGGCCGTGCAGTCATGGGTGAACAGGGAGTACAGGAGGGGACTGAGCACGCACCCCTGAGGGGCCCCCGTGTTGAGGATCAGCGTGGCAGATGTGTTTTTTACCTACATATAGGCCTATGGGCTAGGTTACATGAGGTGTGCGAATATGATTAGAAAAAGGCACACAAAAAAGGCATTGTTTCTTGCCTTAAGATGGGCATCATTCACAGGTGATAATATATCATTCACAAGTGATAGGCTAATAGTCACCCATCAGACTATTCTTGATTTAATCTTGTCTTTACATACACTAAATAATATATGCATGAAATTCATTTTGATTTAGAATGGACCATTATCATGCACCTGTCTCGAAACTGGGGCCGTGGGAAAAATACATGTAATCTTTGCACTTAAATAGCGAATGGAGGACGCTTTTCCTGTGGTTAATTTTCATGCCAGCCAGGTAGGCTATACTCCTGTTGTAAAGATAAGCAATGCGCTTAATATTTGATTAATATTAGGAAAGTTGAGAAATAAATATAGTAGGCCTAGCCTATAGAAAGCTGATGGGATCCTCCTCTTTTTAATTGAGGCCATCACTCCATTTTCTCACGCAATTGCATAGCCTATAGAAATGTTGCACAATATGAGCTCATGGGCTCTCATGAAGTGTTTGATTAGATTTTCGATGACATTTGCATTGATGTCAGACTGATTAGAGGGACAATAGAGTGCTGAGTACCAGGCAGTTAGCAAGTTTGGTAGGCTACTAATGAACATCAGCAGCATCAGAGCTTGGAGAAGCCTAATTACTGTGACTAAACGGTCACATGAAATTTGACTGCCTTCATGAATCGTGACCGCCGGTGTGGCGGTTATATGGTCACTGCAACAGCCCTAGTCAAAGGTCATACACCCAAGACATGCTAACCTCTCACCGTTACCAATAACAGGAGAGGTTAGCATGCAGGGTTGGAGATTAATCCAAAACCCACCTGTAGAAGTTGGTTGAATTGACAAGAAAGGCTACTAAAGTGTGACTTTGTCCTCGTGTTTCTTGGCCAGTTACATATTTTGTTAACATGCTATGTTGGTTTTCAATGTGTTTGAGTTTGCTGCAACATTCTGTTGCTAGGAAGACATCGCAGTCTGAGATTTTCTTTTGTCACAGACAAGCGAGTGCCCAAGTTACCACGGTAACAGCCCGTCCTGGGCCAGCTGAGCCTTTGTCTCATCTAATGATTGTGCTTGATTGAGCATGGATCACTCCCCAAAACTATTATTCATTAACTTTTAGTCATTGCTCTCCTAGATTTGTTTGTGTGCTTCTACATTTCTACATAGGAGCATTTCATGTACTCCTTGTAAAAAAAGTCAGCGTAGAGCCCTGAACTATAATAATAAATAAACCGTATAACTCAGAATTTTGTGGCAGGGCAGGCACTTTGTTGATTCTTGATGTTCAGTTGTAGAACTGTTTATCTGTTTATATTATTGGATCGATACTGAACAAAAATATAAAACACAACATGCAACAATTTCAACGATTTTTCTGAGTTACAGTTCATATAAGGAAATCAGCCAATTTATATCAATTCATTAGGCCCTAATCTTGGGAGCCAGACCCACCCACTGGGGAGA